AAATTGAAAGGTTTTTTTTATAATCATTTAATAAATATACAGTAATTTTTATAATCAATATTTTTAAAAGTTTATTTTTAATTAAAATATCAAGTAAAATAAATATAATCATAAAAAATATTTTCAAACAGCTATTTTGATTAGTATTGAGGTATTTTTTAAAAAGATCAATATTTGCAATTAAATAGTATTTTGATACTAATTAAAGGAGATACTTTTTTTAGGGGATACTTTATACAATACTATATAGTAGATTCCATTGAGCTAAAGTAAATTTGTTGATTAAACATTCACAGATAATATTGTAAAGGAAAATTTTGAATTTTAGGCCTAACTTTTTTAATAATTTGTTAATAATTCTGAATGGATCTGAAGCTTTACAATTAAATAAATATTTAATAATATTGTTCCATTCATCTATTGAAGGGAGATCCATAAGAGAATCATAAGCGTCATCAGAAATATCGTCAATAGATTCATAGTATCATTCCCAAATAAACCAATTTGGAAAAAAATTAACAGTATTTGGATCAGTGACATTTTTATTCGTAAAGCCAGAAATTGTTTAAAAATGTTGAGCAGTGTGAAATTTGATAGCATTTGAATTGAAAACTAAATGTTGATTTGGGGTATTAAACTCCACTAACACTCTATTAATACAATAATTTTGCGATTTCTTTTTAAAAAAGAATCAATCATTTTTGTGAAAGCATCTTTAAAATTGTCTACACGTCTTTGAATGAACTTATGTATTCAGTCATTATTTTTTGATTTATTAATAATAATCTGTTTTACTTGTAAAGGTTTCAGAATATCATTCTTAAGTTAGTGTAAATATAGGAGAAGGCAATTATTATTATAATAAACATCTAAAGAACTAGAAGAGATAAGATATTCAGCTACAGTTTTAAGGATATAGTCATGATTAGTAAGTGATATAGGAAAAGAATTATAAGTGTTAATGTTGAGAAAAAATGAGAATAATGAAAAGATCTTGTATTTGTAATATAATTTTCAGACTTTGTTGATTTGTTTGTGAATAGAAGAATTTAAATATAAATAAAGGAAATTGTGGTAAGCTGATGTAATTTGTTTTGGTATGTATTTGGAAGTTAATATCATGACTGTTTGGGCGAAGAACTCCTAAGCATCATTGATGACATTGTTTAAAGTACAAAGGTTTTAAATTAAAATGTCATTAAATTTAACATATTATTTGAGTAAAAGGTCAGTTTTGTCTGAGAAAAGATCGCAATGAAGGTAGGTAGTTTTATTATAAAGAAATTATTGTTTTATAATTTTATATTATTTTTGATAAGCTGAAGATAATTAAAAGAAAAAGTTTTTTTTGTAAAGAGTAACTAATAAAGGATAGTAATCAGTTGAGTAAAGAAAACAGTAGTCATTTAGGATATAAAAAAAGGTAAGATTATGAAATAGATTAATAAAGATAAATATGTAATCTATATAGGACGTTAAATCGTAAAAAGAAGAAGAATGAAAAGTGAGAAGATAAATGGATTGAAAGGAATAAGGGTGTGAACGAAACCTAGGTTGAAAATATTATGTAAAAAGTTCTGCAACTGTTTTTAGTTTAGATCTATAATGTCTTCTTATATCAATATTAAAATCTCCTATTAATACAATATGAAAATTATGATGTAAACTATCAATTAAAATATTCATTAATTTCTTTTAGACTTGAAGATAGTAATAGAAATCTTGTTTGTCATAGTAAGATGCAGGTAAATAAACTTGAATGACTCAAAGCTTGAATTTGTTCTTGAATTAAAAATCAAGATATATAATACAATCAAAAAAGGAATCTTGATTGAAGATATGTATATTCAGATTGTTATAGATAATTAATCTAATGCTTTAACAGTTTTGAAAATGATTTGATGAATAAAAAAAAATATTTAAATGACTTATTATGAATGTTTTGTTAAGATGATGTGCTTGTAATAGGTTAAGATGAGTTTTACTCAAACCAAGTATATCTATATTAAAATTATTAAAAAAGAATCAATATTGTGAAGTTTGAAATCTGATAAACAATTTCTGACATTATGTGTTGCAAAAAAATAAGATTTGAATTATTGATAATGTTTGTAAAAGATTTGTTTAAAAGAAAATTATTATTAAGATTTATTCAATGTGATTTTATATTATTATTTGTTAAATGCACACTCATTTAGAAGAAGAGGGAGCATTTGAAGGATCTGTTGAATGTTGTTAGCGATATTTTTGATTTCAGACCAAGATTTAGTAAATTGATTTTCTATACTGGTAACTTTATCGAGAAGAGATGTGTTATTAAAAGAATTCGCAAAAGAACTATTGAACGAGGATTCAGGTAAAAATTCTGAGAAATCTTCAAATTCTATTTCACTATCGTATACTCTTTTAGTGTGAACTATATTATTATGTTTTTCAAGTTTAGTTAAATAATATTCTATATCTTCTTGGTTTTCTTAAAGGATAATAATCTCATTTTTTACCATAATGATCTCATCATTAAAGGCAATCAGTTTATTATCAATTTTATCTAAACGTTTAGAATATCTTTAAGTGCTATAAAGAGATCTGAACTCTACATCTGATGTTTATGATTATGAGAATTAGATTTTAGTGCATTTGCATATAATCCTCAAAGATTATGATTTAATTGTGAATTTGCAATATAATTAATACAACAATTATTGAGTTTATAAGGGGTCTATAGGCAGCTAGTTTAAAGCGATCATATAATTGATAGTATGGGTTTAAAGGTTTTTAAGAAGCACAATCCTTAGCTTTGTAATCAGGATTACCACATCTATAACAATGAGGCGTAGCAGGATTAATTTAGAATAAAATATTCGATTTGAATTTATATTGAGATTTGAGAGTATTGTCATAATCATCTTAGTTGTTAAAATTAATATATGCATAAGAATGATTACAGTATTAGAGATTTCGTAAGATAAAATATGATTTTGTTTTAATAGAATCAAGGAAGGTAAATAAATCTCGTTGAGTTGTATTGAATAACAAACCAGTTAGTTTTAATTTAAACTGTTATCTTAGGATCAGTTGCATAGCATCGAGATCAGTGAGTTCAATGCGAACTGTGAAATCTAATAATGGTAGAGATTATACGTCATCATAAAAGAGTTTAATAGTGTCAGGTGATTCATATACTATAAATGCTATTTGTCAAGGGTCTCTAGTGATCATAGAAAATCTAGTAATTGTATCACATTATTGGAAGAAATTTTGTATGACCTCTGATTTGATAAATAAGGGAATGTCATTGACTTTAATGCATCTTCTTTTCTCAGCATTGATTCGTTGTTTCTTAGCTGATAGATCAGCAATCATAAACATAGGATTGTATTACGTCTCCTGAACTTTGTAACTGCATGTGTGAGTTGATCAATAGTTTGAAAATAAATAAAGAATTTTCTTAATTTAGAGTTATACAAGGTTTTTTAATATTCTGAAAAGTTAACAAAAAGCCTGTTAATAAAATTTTATTTATCAGTGATAGATTTCCCAGTAACATTCACAGCATTATTAGATGCAAAAAAACACGTTGAAGAGGTGATTATATTAAAAAAGTATTTTCACATTAGAGACATGTGATTGGTTGGATTTATTTACATTATTTTCTATTTGGTCAGCCCAAATAAGTTGTTTGTTTTTTCCTTTTTGACAGTAAGAATAGATGAAGATAGAGTTTTATCATTTGTAAAGTTCTTTGCATATATGGAGTTATTAGTACTAGAGTCTTGTGAAGAGGAAAATGAGGTTTTCTTAAAGTTATCTATTTCCATTTCATAGACATTTAAGTCTTTAAAACAAAGAATTTTGTGAAAATAATAGGGACTGTTTGCATGATTACTGATGTTGGTTGAGTAATATTTGAGACTTCTGTAGTTGTAGAAGCGATGTTAAGTTTCAGGGTTTCAATTTTTTGTTTTTTCGTGACTTTATTGACATTTTCATTATTCTTATTCTTTTCATTATCGTTGAAGGTGAAGGTACTATATTCTTTACTGTTGTCTAAAGAGTTAAGAGCACTTTTGTTATAAGATTCTGGTTTTTTTCTATATATATTTTGTTTTCTAGTTGTTAAAAACATTTTGGTCAAAAAAATCAGTAGAAAGAATTTTATATTTTCTTATTTTCTTGTAATTATTAGATAATTATTATTTTAAAAAATTGAAAATTGAAAAATTAATTTATATTAATAATTATTAATTTTAAAAATTTTAAAATACTATTATTAGATAACTCTTAATATAACAAATCTAATAAACTTTATTTCATTTTTTATAATCATTAGATATTAAAATATTATAAATTTTCTACAATGTTTTATAACCAATTTATACCTACACTTTAAGGAATAAAGATAATCTCTTGCACTTTTATAATTATACATCCTACATATCTAATTATAGATAAAATAGATAAATAAATAAGTAATAAAAATAACATATATATACAGAATATATAAATTATTTTCCTGTTCAACATTGTCAATGACTTTTTTAACTTCTCCTTCAAAACTTTTTGGTTTCATATCAATAATCTCATATACTTTCTTCTTTATGTCTTTCCAATCTTTCCCAAAATACAAAAACATTTCATATGAATATTCAGAACTTAAATTAACAATTGATAAATATCCTAGACTGTATTTAAATGTTAGAAGCAATTATAGTAACTTTTTTTTATATCAGTTGTTGTAATATTACTATAATAAAAGCAATCTCACCTGATTACACTTGTAAGACAATTTACCATAAATTTACAAGTAAAAATTTCATCTCCACGTGACCGGTGACATATAATGAGCCTGAAAAAATATTTTTCATCACTTAAAAAAATTCTAAGTCCCCGGAATACTTATGAAAAATGGAAAATCGAAGGGTGTGACACGGGGTGACAAATTATATATGGTCACGTGGGTAAAAAATTTTATGGCGATAAACGTCGAATGATCATCACCATCATAACTATCTTCTTCAACATTTTCAGTATGATAAACTTCTTCACTATCTAATTCAACGGGTATAAAGGGTCTTATGCGTTTGATATGTATTACATTGTTGTATTCGTCATCAGTCTGTGATAAAATTGATTAAAACAGAAATAATCAAGCAGTATGATATTCATATATAAATGTTAATTTGATACTCACGCGATTCCTCTTGACTTGTTTAAGTTTGTTTTTACTGGCAGTAATTTCATCCTTATTGTTCTCAATAATTGGCTCCTCGTGCAATTTTTCAGTTATTTTTGTTTGAAACTCCAAGATTTGGTCACTTGCATTCTGCAAAGTTACAACCTTGTGTTTATTCTGTAATACAAACAGATAGTTAGTAAAGATTATAACTTCGTCAAGCATAAACAGTTGATTCTCAGTATACTTGTAATAATTCGGTTGATTCGAAGTTTTTGTAATGCTTCTTCTTTTTCATCTTTTGAAATGTTTTCCTAACAAGAATTTAAGCACGTCAATAGATCTTGAAACATAAAATATGTCGACAGGAATAATTCAAAGAACATACCTTGTTGACATTTCTATAATATGAATCTTTCAAAAATAATTGAAGGTTAGTCTGCAAGATCTTAAATAATGTTACTTGGTAATAATGTACGCAAGACTGGTTGGTTGTTGCTGTATAAGTTAGGCGCATTGCTATAATAGCAACCCCAGAGTTCCTTCAACACACAAGTTGTGGAAGCGTCTCCATAATTATACTCTATTGGCAACCAGTTGAAAGCAATCCAGTCAACAGGAAGCAGAAACGCAACATCCGTACAATGTTAGGCGCATTGCTATAATAGCAACCCCAGAGTTCCTTCGACATCACTATGAAGGATGGAAGCGTCTCCATAAAATGTACCCAGTGTTATCTCTAAGATATAAAAAAATACTTACTTTCGTGTAGAATCTAAAATAAATTATTACGAAATATAATAAGTATAGACACAAAAGATGGATAAATGTAACCTAACGCGTGCTTTGCTTATCACAAAATCAAAACGCGACGTGTAATAAACGTGATTATAAGTACGAATTTCAAAACCAATAAAATTTTGTCTTGATTTTTTTAAATAAAACAAAAATCATTAACCGTTGATATATGGAAAATACTATTAAATCAAAAAAAAAAAAAAAATGGTTTGCATTTGTTCAGAATCTTTGATGCTAACAATAAAAAAGAACAAAAATTTTTATACTTGAAATTAAAAATCGGAATTGGTTATAATTAAGATATAATAATATTTTAAAATTCACTAAATAGGTTGTATTAAAATTTTTATTATCTTGAAAATGATAATAGAATTGGTCAGAAATAAAGTTGTTAAATCGTTTTTCCCTTTTCACAGATGCAAAAAAGTAATGTATTTATTTCTTTTATTTTGTAAAAAAATGCATTTGTAACAATAGCAGAGTGGTAAAGAGTCTTTACTACTCTAGTATTTGATTGAAATAAAACAAATAATTATTAAGAGTAATGTAAAAAGTATATCCATTATATTTTAAATTAAAAGACTTTTAAAGATGTTAAATTGTTTTAACTTTAATGATTTCTTTTTTTTTGTCTATAGCTCTGAATTTAATACTTTTATATATATATACTTATGTAAATCTACTTTTTTTAGTTTTCTATATGACATTTTAATTTCTAAACTTTGCTATCTTCATCTTAAAACTTGCTTAAAAGTTGTTATGTGTTTTATTATATTATACTAAATCTTCAAGTTAGGATTAAAATTATAAGATTGTTGAAGTTTAGCAGGCTTTAATTTGATTGCTTTAATAGTTTTTATAGTTTTTTCTTTAAAGGACTTGATTGATAATCTAAATGGATTTAAGTTTTAAGATAAGTTAGATTATGTATAATGAATTTACAAATTAGAATTGGTATTGTTAAATATTTTTTAATTTTACTTTTATATATTAGTATATTTTAAGTATATACTAACTTATAAGTATATAAAATTAATATATAAAAGTATTATAGTAATCTATAGATATCTTATAAATATAAAACTTTTATAATTTAAAGTAATTAGAAAAGTTTATATAATAAAAAAATTTTGAATAAACAAATTAAGATACAATTATATAGATACAACTATATAAATATAATTATATAGATATAATAATATAGATATTATAAAATATAACTATTATAAATTATATGTAAACAGGTTCATATTCTTTTTTTTTATTAATTTTTATTACATTTTATTAGAAAATAATAAAAATTATATAATTAAAAAATTCTTAATAAATGATAATAAAGAATTTTTATTTTTTTTATATAAAATTATACAGTTGAATCTCTCTATAACGAATTTTTATATTCCGAATTTTTTGTTATTGTGAATTATATGAGTGGTCCTGAATTTTATTAAATAAAATAATTGAATATAACGAATTTTTATAATAAATCTTACTATTACGCATAACGACTGTAATAAGTATAATAAAATGAGACTTTTATTAACGAATTTTTTTGTATAACGAATTTTTATATTAAATTTAAGAGATATAGTGAATTTTTTTCTTAAATTACTATTAAAGGAAATTTTACATTGTAAAATTTTAATAAATAATTTAAATGTTCGAAAAGATTATAAATTTTTTTTGATTAACCATTAAAATGCCCAAAGAAAAAAGTAAAAAAAATTTCTCTAAAGACAAAGGAAAAGCTTCTGAAATAAAACAAACTAGAGCTTCCCTTACAGGTGCTCAAAAACAAAAAGTTTGTTTAAAAAAGTTACAGAAACCAACGCCTCAAAATAAAGAACTTGCCTAAGAATTTAATGTTTCAGAAGGAATGATATCAATAAGATTTTAGAAAGTTCGCTATGCTCAATCAATATAATTAGTTATCAATCATATAATCAATTAATATAATTTTTGAAATAGAGGAAATTTAAAATATATTTCTTAATTAATTTAACTTAACATTAGATTGCGGTTCGGAGAAATTTTTTACAAATGTTTTCTTCAAAAATCACTCTCTTTCGTAGGACCGTTTTGCCAACTCACTTCGTTACTCGTAGAGTTCGATGCCTTCAGTCGCCGGGTCTTATGTTGAGGAACTCGAGACCTTACTTATTTCATTCGTCGTCTTCGAAAAATTTTACAAATATAAAAAATGCCGAGACTAGACATAAGTCTGAAGCTGTGATACAGGAAGGTTCTAATGCTCCCGAAAAGAAACTGCCGTCTTCTCTTAAAGAACTGGTGCAAAAGAAGTTTACTGGTATCTCAAAAAAACTAAATCCTGACACTCCGCCGTCTGGGAAAAATATATGGAATTTTATACGGGACAACTGGAAGCAAGTTCTGAGGGCTGGCATACTAGCGGACTTTCTTTTTGCTTTGGCTGTGAATAAGTTCAGCGAGTATCGTGTCAATTCAGCTTTAAAAAATGGTACTCGGCCCAAGTCAAAAGTGCTGGAAGATGAGTTTGTTCCTCGACCTCAAATTTCAGAAATCCTTAAGAAAATTTTTCAGCCAAATGAACATCAATCATATTATCACGTCGTTTGCGGAGAACATGGCACTGAGAAGACAACATTGACCAGAATGGAGGCAAAAAACGTTGGGAAAGGTGTCATATATGTTGATATTCCCTTCGATTTTGAGAACTTGGGAGAAGCTTTTGGAAAGGCTATTAATTTGTCATTCTTCGAAGACATCTCTTTTACAACCCTACTGATGCGGAAATTTTTTTCTGGGATGGGTGTGACTAGTGAATCTGCCATTTCCCTTTATCAATGGAGGAAAGTTATGAAAAATTTTCGACATGCCTCAGAAGTGTACAAAAAAAAGTATCACAAACCACCTATTATCATTTATGACAATATCAGCCGAATAGTAAAGGAGAACCCAAAAATTCTTGATATACTTCAAGATGACGCAAAGGATAATGCTGATGATAGAGCATACAGGGGGTATAAAAAGTATTGGCCACCCTGGTTAATGTGATGCAAAAGTAGCGCGTGTCGTTATACCTCTGCCGAATCAAGCCATAATTTCCATTTTTAATTGCGCGTGACTGTGTCTAACTAAAAA